AAAATATGTTAGAATTAATTAAATTATTTTTCGATATTTCTTTTGGAAATTCAAAAATACTTCTAATTAATTCTTTTTCCCAGTATTTTAATTCACTATTTCTTTTCGCAATTTTTGTTGAAATTCGAAACTCTTTTTACAATTCGGAAGTACTTTTCTCTTAAAAATGTTATTCTAAACCCCTCAATTAATTTCGACTAAATTCAATKAAYTCACGACTGAATTAATCTCTTTATTCGAAATTAATTATCCTTTTTCTGAAATGTCGACATTTTCCTTTTTGAAAAATTCTTGCCACATATTTTAAAATTTTCCTCTTCCTAATTTTTTTTTTCAGAATTTTATTTATTTCTTCATTTTCCCCCCGTTATTCGAAAATATTTTCTTTCGAAATTTCACGTTTTCTTGTAACTAAATTTAAATCTAAATCAGAATTTATTTTTTCGAAACTAATTAACTCTTTCTGTTCAGCGTTTATTTTTGAAAAAAACTTGCGGATTATCTTTATTTTTGAATTTATTAATAAATAAATAAGGGATTCCCCCCCCCACCCTCCACATGCCACCACGCCAAACTAAGAACTCCCAACGTGCCGCCGCCGCCGCCACCACTACTGCGGCATCCTCCACACCCGTTCAGGCCACGTCCTCCACCCCCTCTTCCCCTGACATGATCGCATCCTCCATCAACATGTCTGACATCCGCACCGACTCAGTTGATAGCATCGCCCACAACCTCGCAGGCGAACAACCACCAACAAACAACCCCACATTGCAAACCACTCCCTCCTCCACAGCCGCCTCTAGCAACACCCCCCCGCCGACCTCCTCCACTCCTACCACCTGTACCGCCATATCCACCAACCCCTCAATCCCTACCATTGTTCCGTTCCCTCCACCTCCTCCCTCATCCGGCGCATCCAGCACACCGCCTCATTCCTCGCCCATCAAAGTCACCCCTCTTCCCCCCCCGCACTCCCAAACCCTCTCCCAACCCATCATGACCACCTCCACCATCCCCACCATCCGTCCCACCTATTCCCAAGTCACCTCTGGGGCCTTCCCGGCAATGCCACAACTTCCCCCCAACTACCTCCTTGAGGACAACAACCAAATCGACCACACCTGCTATGACACCACCCCCGATAACCTCAGCTTTAACACCCTCGCGCAGATCGTTCACCGCGACGGGGAAATCCCCCGTTCCTTCCGATCTGGCGAAATCATGTCCTTCTTTGGCCTCCCCCACGAGGACGTTTTCCTCTTCCTAACCCAGCTTCAAAACTCTTTTCAGCTCCACCACATGCCCCTTGCCCACTGGCTCCCCATTGCCACCTCTCGCCTCCTCGGCAAATGGTGGATGGCTGAAGCTAGCAACCGCCGAGCCTCCGGAGGACCACGCCCCACCTTGCCCACTGGCTCCCCATTGCCACCTCCCGCCTCCT